CCCAAACATCACTGATGTTTCTCTGTTTGCTAACTCATAAGTAGCACAAGAAGAACTCCCAAACATCACTGATGTTTCTCTGTTTGATAACTCATAAATAGCACTAGAACTCCCAAATATCAGTGATGTTTCTCTGTTTGATAACTCATAAGTAGCACTAGAAGATCTCCCAAACATAGTGATGTTTCTCTGAAATCTTGAAATAAGTTCATTGGCAAGCTTCCTTGCTAAACTTTGTTTCTTTGTCAGAACATCATATTACTTCAGGCCATTTGGAGAAATAGGCCATCATCATCAAGAGGTATTTATTCCTTCTGTTGTTCTCTGGTAGAAATACAAACACACTGACATCAACTCTTTCATCTGGTGCTCCAAAACAATACTGCTGCTGTTGTTTCTTTTATGAGCCTGTTTGCTCACATTACATCACACTTTACTCCAATTCTTTACAGATTTCTGGCACACTACCCAATAGAAGTGTTACCTCATCCTCTTCAACGTCTTCTTAAAAACTAAGTATCCAGCTGATGGAGATCAATGGAGATGACAGAGTGCTTCTGATTGCTTGTTTGTTTTTGAATTTCGTGCAAAGCTACACGAGGGCTATCTGTGCTAGCTGTCCCTAATTTAGTAGTGTAAGACTAGAGTGAGCTAGTCATCACCACCCACCGCCAACTATTGGGCTACTCTTTTACCAACGAATAGTGGGATTGACCGTCAGATTATAACACCCTCACGGCTGAAAGATTGAGAGTCGAGTGCCCTAACCACCTGGCCGTGCTGGGTCTGCTTCTGATTGCAGTGTCTTCTGAAGTACCAACTGAAGTCATAATTTCTGTCCACTTACAACACAAGCTTTTCTATAGAAAGAGTAGATTCAGTACGTCTTTGTTTTTAGGGTGTATTTTACCACTGTATGCCACGAGTTTCATTCTGCAACCTTCATGATTCACTGAATAATTGGGTTAATACTCATTTCAGTTGACCACATTAACTTTTATTTCATCTCTACTGCATTTTAGGTTGGTTGTTTTTTATTATCTTGCACTTCCCTCTGTTTACATTATTTGGTAAAACAAGGTCTTTTAGATAATCCCAGATGACAAAACTAGCTCTGGAACATGATCAATAAACACAAACACCAGATCAACCCCAGAGGTACATAACATGATATGACTAGCTCCAGAGGTGGAACAGCAATGAGGAAACCTACTGACAGCTAAACAACAGCTGCTCAAACTTCCAAAGATCCCTAACAGGCCTATAGGACACATACACGTAACAGCTGACACATACACGTAGCAGCTGACACATACACGTAACAGCTGACACATACACGTAACAGCTGACACATACACGTAACAGATGACACATACACGTAACAGCTGACACATACACGTAGCAGCTGACACATACACGTAGCAGCTGACACATACACGTAGCAGCTGACACATACACGTAGCAGCTGACACATACACGTAGCAGCTGACACATACACGTAGCAGCTGACACATACACGTAGCAGCTGACACATACATGTAGCAGCTGACACATACATGTAGCAACTGACACATACATATAATAGTTTCTAAGCAGAGAAGTAAACTGATAGTCATTGAGAATAATTAATATAAACAAAAATATTTTATTATAGAAAATCAAGCACTATTTTCTTACCTCATTTGTTTTGTACATATACAAAACTTTGTCATTAATGACAAACCAGTACTGTTTCCAGCCTCTACGACCTCTTTTCTGTAAGTGGCCACTAATGGAGGAGACTTGGTTATTGTCACAAATCTTGAAAAACAAATGAAATTGTTTATATATATAATTCTTACTCTTCACATACATGTAATTAAGTTTTCCTTCAATAATAAAGTTCTTCCTAAACCAAGATTTGTCTAACAAGTTAATATTAATAAACACTCCATGTTAATACCAGACTCTCTCTGTTCTAAACATTAAACTGTTTGTTATTCAACATGTTAATACCAGACTCTCTTTGTTATTCAACATGTTAATACCTGATTATCTCTGTTCTAAACATTAAACTGTTTGTTATTCAACATGTTAATACCCGACTCTCTTTGTTCTAAACATTATACTGTTTGTTATTCAACATGTTAATACCTGACTCTCTCTGTTCTAAACATTAAACTGTTTGTTATTCAACATGTTAATACCTGATTCTCTTTGTTCTAAACATTAATACTGTTTGTTATTCAACATGTTAATACCAGACTCTCTCTGTTCTAAACATTAAACTGTTTGTTATTCAACATGTTAATACCTGACTCTCTCTGTTCTAAACATTAAACTGTTTGTTATTCAATATGTTAATACCTGATTCTCTTTGTTCTAAACATTATACTGTTTGTTATTCAACATGTTAATACCCGACTCTCTTTGTTCTAAACATTAAACTGTTTATTATTCAACATGTTAATACCTGTCTCTCTTTGTTCTAAACATTAAACTGTTTGTTATTCAACATGTTAATACCTGACTCTCTTTGTTCTAAACATTAAACTGTTTGTTATTCAACATGTTAATACCCAACTCTCTTTGTTCTAAACATTAAACTGTTTATTATTCAACATGTTAATACCTGACTCTCTTTGTTCTAAACATTAAACTGTTTATTATTCAACATGTTAATACCTGACTCTCTTTGTTCTAAAC